GAAGTGCGGTGGTATCTCACTATTAAACACAGGAAATAAACGCCAACAGATGTGTCACCTCGACATGCCTTCATGCAATGCTGTGGTGTGAATGGGGGCTAAAAGATGTTTTTAGCAGAGCCTGTTTCGGTGTGGGGCTACTTGAATGGTTTGACAGTGAAGTGGAGTGAGGATGTGTTCACCGGTCTCTCTCTGCCTAGCAAGGGCTGGACTCCGGGACGGAATGGTGTCTTCCTTCCTTCAATTATGAAATAGCGGAATGGTTACCTCTCATCACCAGTTATCTGCTGGAAATCATATACATACATACACACACTGTACATACTTTATCTTTTTTGTTCACTTTCACCTACATTTCCATGAATTCTAGAACACTATTTTAGTTTACATTTGAATCCTTTTTGTTTTGCAAATTCAAATTGAGCTTCTTTATTTAATATCCATTTCATTTAGTTTTTCGACATGAAAATTACAAACTTCAGGCAACATAACCTTTTAATCCAAAACAGTATACTTTTACACACATTGTGCGCTCATTATCATTGTGATGCTCCCCACTTCACATTTCTGAACATGTTTACTTCTGGTGTACTTTTTAGAAGGTTTTCTGCTGTAGAAATTATGCATATGACTTTTGTTAATTTGGCACCAGCGATGCAACACTTTTAGAAATGTCTCTCTCTCTCAAATAGACGTATTGTTTTAATTTGGAGCACACATTTCCATGCATTAATTCTGCCACATATACAAATGTTAACTAATTTCCCCTATTCTTCTGCTCTCCTTCCTACATTGCTGCACCTTGCTGGCTGTCCATACACATCCCCTTCTTCCCTCCTTCCTGCAGTGCTGATTTTTGCGGTCACCCCTCTTTATGCGGTCAGACATTTATAGAAACTGTTGTATAAGCATGCCTGGTGCAACACAACATAGAGCCTTGTCATTTATGGAAAATACGCCAAGATATACACCATAGAAGTGACATACTTCCATTTCTGCCCACCCCCCCTTCAAATTTTTCTATGTTCATTGAAGGACATCGTTCTTATCCACAGATGTGTGTTTATAACGCCACCTGCAGGAGAAGGACACTAAGTACACAAAACAAGGCAAACGTAGGGGTCAGTACCAAATTGCAGTTACTTATTAGCACACACAAGGATGACTGCATAGCACTCTGCTTGACAAAGGAGTCACTCTAAAATAGGATATCAGGACCAGTGCTCAGGAGACCAGCTGATTCTGCAGGAAACTAAAATGTTTAAACATCAAGGAGCATCGTCCATTGTAAGTGATTCATCAGCATTTGGAATAGCTTAAAATCCTTGTGACTTTAAGATCAGGTGAAAAAAAAAAAGGGCTCTATGTTCTACTTTTTTTCCAACATAATAGGAATAATAAACATAGCACACTAGTTCAGCTTTTTTTCTTTCAAAGATATCCATTTTTACAAAACAATCCTGTAAAAAAGCTAATGCAAGTGCAATAATTACAACAATTTTACAATATTTTTGAATTTTCTGAGAATCTGCCCAGTCCAAGGCAAGAAAAAGATTCCCTTCATTGCAGTCTTCACTTGTCGTGAAACATTGGTGATAACCGCTCTTGCTTTGTCAATTACCGAACTTCTATTTTGCTAAAGTAAAAGAAGAAAGAATTGTCAACCCATACTGCATATAAAAAAGGAATTTATTTTCAAATAGCAATAATAAAAGCTGTAAAATGATTGTATGAGTGTAGCAGAAACATCAAAAATATAGGGTTCCAAAAATGTATTTCAAACAATATAATTTAATTACCCCCCGTGCTCATCCTGGGAACAGCTATAAGGCACAGCAATATTCTAGAACAAACAGTAAACCATGGGAACAAAATTAGAAATGTAGAGAAAATGTTACAGTAATAAACACACAAAAAATTAAACCTACTACTGTTTCTGATAGATATGTAAAAAGGTATGTTCTAATTTGTGAAAGCCGAGTACTTATACTTCATGCCTGCCTAACTCACAGGTATATACAGGAAATAGATGACAGATACATGTTTGCAGACACTTACATTCGCTTTACAGCATCCCCAGAGCTCCTACTTATGAACAATAACATTTAGGGACCATTAACTTAACAGGGCGTTAACGTACATTATATGGGTTGTGCTAAGGCAACACACTGAAAATGATTTTTTAATTTTCTTGGCTGCAACGCACTACCGTACATTGATACCCTTCAGTGCAGAGGTGTTGCCTTAGTACATTGAGGTGCCATTCAGAATTTACCACAACACTGAAAATGTGCCCTTAAAAAAAAGGCTCAGCCTTTTAAATAGCATATGCATTTCAATGTCCATTATTTATATCCACTGCACTAACTACCGGCTTCATAGCTTTGAGAGATCAAAACACCATCACTGAATACATCCCTGTGTCCCTGGCTTTCATTATCAGTTTTCCTGACATATGAATGGTCTAGCACAAAACACCTAATCTATCAGGGCTTTGCTAGGCAAACAGCTGCTAATTTTGTACACCATAAAAAAAAAGTGTTACTTTACAATCATTTAGCAAAATGTCCTTCCATCCCACAATGTTGCATTTGAGTTTTCAATGATTCCTCACTTAAAATACTATTCATAATATCCTCTAAATATAGTTCTTACATACATAAGCCCAACTGTCTATTGTTTAAAGAGTCTACAATACCTGAAGTGTCACAAAAAGCAAGAATTACAGAAATATATTGCAAAGATGTTTTTAAGAGGTCAATGACTCTTCTAGAAGGTACGGTAACCCACCAAAACACTGCAGCAATTTCCATTCTTTCTCCATGGAAACTGCTTCATCTTTTAAGTCATGCACACATTCTTCCGTAGGAGGTTTGTAAGGACCGAAGTCCATTGTTGAGTGGCAGCCTGCCAGAACATTACACAAGGCCTCTGTCAGCTCAGGTTCAGATTCCTAAAAATAAGAACAGTACATTGAAAACACAGCACAGAACACAAATTCTGCATCATTAATAGGCTTTTGTGCTATTTCAGGTTAAATATGTGACCAGTTACCACCGTTTCTCAAAGCCAATATTAACAGTTCATGGCTAGGCTTACCGGAACTATAGAAAGAACTGCTCCTTGAGATAAACCCTGTAGAAGGCTAGTGAGCAGAAGAATATCCTTTGTACCAATGCTTCTGTTATTCTCCACAGTTATAATAATAAGATCAGGCTGATAGCTATAGGCCAGAGGAAGGATGAATCGGAAAAGTGCATAGAAGAAGCTGCTGCCTTCTCCAAGGTTCTGTGAAGAGACGGCAAGAGTGCGACAGATTTACATACCTAAGGGGACCTTAATAACACAAAACACAGGCAAGTTCTGTACTCAAAATAGACAAATCCAGTTAATTATCTACTCAACAAAATATAACATAGTATGGAGTTGTACACTATAAAAGAGCATGCACTGCTGCATTTCCGGATGCGTTTGGTTTTCAAATATCGGCCAAAGTACCAGATAGAACGCCTCAGATAAGATGACAAGAAGAAGGCCTTCCGAGGCGATGTTGCTCTAATTTAAAGCCCAGCTCTAACCATAACTTTTGTTTAGTTGTGGATAGATTAGGGAAGGCTTAGACATTTTGTCAGGTTTGTACAGTCTGTGACCTTCACTGGGGAGATTTCTTCTCACTTTTTGTCCCAGTGACCCCAGACCAGGTAACCACAGACAAGAATATGCCACTGCCAGAGTGGCATCTGTCCCTACTGAAGAGATTTACTATCACCTTCTGTCCTGGTGACACTCTTGTAACTGAGGCAAAATAATGAAGTAAATCTCCCTAATCAGGACACAGACTACAATAATAAACAGAGATTCAAACGTTCTCACCACTCAAAATGTTGGGTTGCAGTCCTGCCTTTAATGGGTGTGGAACCTTCAGCTGTGGTGAAACTACAAATCCCATGAGGCATTGCAAGATTCTCACAGCCACAGGCATGACTCCCAGAGACAGATGCATCACGGGATTTGTAGTTTCCCCACCCTTGCACGCATATTCGTGCTTGGTATTGGCTGTGATATTATATTGTGGCTGTGAAATATTTGCATTTAATAATTGTTTAAATGGATTTACCAGATGTAGCGCTATTAAATATAAGATGACCATCAAAATGATTTTAAGTATCTACAAGCTGATCGACAATTAGGTATGATAAAGTGGCCAGTGATATGGACAAAAGGCAGGACGTCAGTGTGGCCTGCTGACCTGAACCAATGCATAGAGCCAGTAACATTATTATAATTATACAGATTTATATAGCGCCAACAGTTTGTGCAGTGCTTTACAATATAAGGAAGACATTACAAGACAAGATGGTAAGGAGGGCCCTGCCTGTGAGGGCTTACAATCTAAAAGGGAGGGGCAAGTGATACATGAGGGAGCTGTGTGGGGATGAATGGTTTGAGAAAGTGATATTTCAGTGGTTAGGTTGAGGTGGGATAAGCTTCCCTGAAGTGAACATGAACAATGTTGTTATTAGGTACCAAGGGGGGGTATACTGGTTCATCTCATTACTCTGCGTCTAGGAAGAGCCTGTATTATTCAGAGCGGGCAATGATCGCCTGGAGTTTACTTACCTCATTCCATTGGAGAAAACACTGATAGTCTGAATGAACTCTTTCACTTGGTTTGTCTTCAGATATTATGAGCATAAAAGTTTTCCTATAAAGTATATTGAAGAGTAAATGAAGTATTTATATTTTCTCAAAGACACTTGTATAAAAATGGACAAACAATAAATGATGAAAACGCACCAAAAAGAACAAAATGTACCAGGACAGCTCAATCTGCAGTCAAAACTTGCCAACTTACCCATCATTTGTTGAACTGAGTTTAGGATCCAAGTCTCCAATACCGACACATAACACCCTGTTTAGAAGAAATTATAAACCATTAAGAACAACCGAAGACTTGTGTGAGGGTATATTTCATAGTCCTCCATATTTTAGTATGTGCACATAAGCGAATTTCCGTATCAGTGTGGAAGACAGGCCAGTACCCAGCTTACATAATCCTTCTGATGCACACTTCCTTTTGTTGCAATTTGCTGAAAACAGGTATGCGTTTTTCCCCGAATTTGTAATTTCTTTTCCTGCATTCATTGTGTCTGGTAAAGTTATGCCAGTGCCTTAAGCCCCTGTTCACACCTGGGTGTTTTGACGCTCAAAGCCAAGTGCGACAAAACTCTCAACACAAGAAATCCCATTCATTTATATGTCCCCTGTTTACACCTGAGAGTTTTGTTGCAAGCAGTAACACGCCAAACGTTGGAAAAAGGTACATGAGCTTCTTTCAGGCAGATTACAGCACGTTTGAACACATAGACTTCAATGGAAGCGCATTAAAACCTGCGACACAACCAATTGAACATTTTTGTGCGCACGTTTCCTCATTCACAGCTAGGCATTTTGATCCGCTCAAGAAAATGCACATCTTTGCCTATTCGCGTCTAACGTGCATAAAAACGCTGACGCCTAGGTGTGAATGAGGACTTGAGAAATTCTGTTGCAAGGGTTCACTGCTTGTTTTGGTCTAGGGGCCGGAATACAGAAGACATACTCATGTGATCCTCAGTCCTGCGGCAGTGATTGCTTACCTATGTACCGCACCGATCCCCTCGCTCCGGCTGTGGTATGTCCCTAGGTGAATGGACCTGCATTAGACATCAGCAGTGGGGGGCTGGTCTAGCAGCCAGGTGGGACCGATGATCAGGGAAGTACATTTTTTTTTATTTGAGCCCCTAGACCAACTAACCATTAACCCTTGCAGTGCACAGGTTTTCTTAGGGAACCTTGAACCTATAAATGTATCAAACATGGAGGATGATTTATCTGAGATGTCTACAGCTCGAATTCCTTCCTCAGTAAAACAAGTCTCTGGAAATTCCCAACTGATCCAGGACAGTATCGAAATCAGCTAGAACTGGACAGTTGATAAAGTCAGGGTGAGTGGTGTTTTGACTACAACATATTTATCTGAAGTTCCTTCAGATAAGGGGTATACTAGGAATAAATCTTGGAGTAACTACACAGAATGCCATACTACCAATCACAGGGGCTTACTTTTGTTCATCTATTGTCATTTCTTTGCATTTTAAACTTATGACTTTCATATACAGTATATGGTTTCCCTGACTAAAAGCAATTGACTTTCTGAATAGACACCCAGAGATATTAAAACAAAGGCATATGAATCATCCCTATTCAATTCAACCTGTGTTTGGTGGCCTAGCTATTAAAAAGACAAATGATAAAGGACAAGGGTCTTTTGTGTGAATAAAAAGTACATTTCTATCATCTTCAGATGTAAGTTCTATAATAAGACACAAGTAAAATTGTGGAATTTACCAGGATGGGCTGGATAGAAATCTAAAAAAAAACCAAAAGCTCTAGTATCCATATGGTCATTCCTCACAGAAAAAAAAACATGGACCCTAAAACATTGTTGCAGCATTAAATATAGAAAGTGAGATACTATTACAGGTATCTTCTTAATGTAGTGGTCAGCAGTAAGGACAAATGTTAATTTAGAATCTGAATAGACTGTTTGGGGCCTAGACGGCTGAGGAGTTAACGCCTCGCTGCTAAGTAATTTTTGAGAGGATCCTGTAGGCTTGTGGCTGCTAAAAGTGTTGACAACAATCACCTCAGAGGCCATCGGGGGAATAACCCAGACAGGACGAATGCAAATCAGCAGAAAGGAACAGATAATTAAAGGTTTGGACACCAAACCCTCCGTAATCATTTGTTGTTTTCCAAAGGGATTATGTTTCAGCTCATGCGATCAAAAATATTAGACATAGGGAGATGAGAGTTATTCATTCTAACAGTACAAACTATGAGCTGCAAGAAAAAGCAAAATGGGGTGTCCTGGCTTTATAGAACCACCCAAGGACTGGCTAATGGCTTTATGGACCATTCACACAGCAGCCATATTGTGATCTTGCGCTGGTGGCAGAAATCCTAACTCTGACACAGTCATCAGAACTGTCTGGAGCCATATAACCTACAGCCAATTAAGAGGCAAAAACTTTCACCACAACCAGTAGGGTACACCTCCAAAAGGTTATAGACCATGAGGTAAAAAGTCCAGCTCACATCGCTACCTCTATAAAATTAGAGCATGAAAATGAACAACTCATGATGAAAATGAGTAATTCATCTACAGCGTGTTCAGAAACATGGTGCCTCACATCAAATAGATCAACTGCACACCGCTTGTCTTCACCGAATTTAAGGCTCGGTTTACACCTAGTCAATTCATGACTGCGAGACGATCGCGCACGAAACCGTGCGGTCAAAGAATCGCACAACCGCCGATCGTGGTGCCATTTTTAATGATACCCCAATCGCTGATGGTAAATCGTGCACAATCGTGGCAGAAAAAAAACCTGTGAGGTGTGCGTCACGGAAAAATATACATGTAGCTTTTTTCAGCAATGGCCACGCGGATATAACCCTATTGAGATCAATGGGGCCGCGCAGCAAACGCTGTGCACGATCGCACCAAATACACGGTCCCGGGATCACCCAAGTGTGAACCTGGCCTAAAATAGCTCTCCTACCTGTACACCTTCTATGGATTAGAGCAATTTTCACATTTCTGCTATGGACCTGTCTATTCAGCAATAACTTTGGGATTACTTATTATATAAGAAGTATGCATATTATTCTATACTTGCCCCTTAAAAAAAAAAACATTCCAAAGTTATTTACAAATGAAATAAAGGCTTTTTTTGCATAAAAATAATAATCAGCAGATAAATAATAGCTAAGGGGAGGAGGGGAAGACAGAGCTAAGGAATTATTTGGGGCTGATTAGGGTAAACAAAGGTTTAATAAGGGGTTAAGGTGGCCCTGTGTATTTTGTTAGGTCTTATTGTGCATGCATACCATACTCGATGTCCACAACTGGTTGAAATATTTATCTTTTTAACCTGATTTCACAATTTTTTTGTTTTGCAGGGATGCAGCAGGTATTTAACGGTTCTAGTTTAAAAAAATACAAAAATATTTAAATTAATGTATATATTTTTCTGTGGTCTTCAGACCATTCGTGTGATGTGCTTGATCTTCTTCCACTTCCTCTCTTCTCTGGCCCTCTGCTGAAATAAGACTTATTATTTTCTCAAGTTAGTGGCCTTCTTATGTTTGAGCCTAATGTTTCAACTGAGTGCCAGGGGCCAGAGGTCACAGTCCAAGAGCCATTTTAGACCTAATTTGCCTTTATTCTGTGTGTATGTACTGGAGTTTTTCACCCAAGCATATGGAGGGGGGAGAAAACAGGACTCCACAATAGATACTTTGTCAGGGCTTACTAATTTCTAAAACAATTTGGAAGTTAGACTGGATATGGTTAAATTAAAATAAAAATCTGACTGGCCTAGTTCGAACTTGAGTCTAATTTGGTGGCTCAACCTCTGCATTTATAACCATCTTTATTTGCTTTTTGAACATCAAGGTGAACTATTAAACCACTCACTAAAATTAAAAAGGATTCCGCACCTTTAAACATATTGAGGGGGAATTTATCAAAACTGGAGCAGACAAAATCTGGAGCAGCGGTACACTGTAACCAATCAGCTTCTCTCTTTCATTTTCAAATCTTAACTGAATACACTGAAGAGAGCAACTGATTGGTTGCCATGGGCAACTGCTCCAGATTTTGATAAATGCCCCCATTTTATAGCAATGAACAGAACCTCACCACTCTGAACTGCTCCTAATCTAACCAGAAATTCTCATACACATCAAAGTAATTTGCATAATTGTTGTTTTAAATGTAAAATTACTTACCGTTCCAAGCTCAAATGTGACACATGGTTCAGTGCAACTTGGGCTGAGAGAGATGGGTTTGGAGATAATGCAATACAATTCTTTGTCTATCAGGGAAAAAAAACAAAACCTTGAATCAGTAAGCATTCTGGCCTACATTTTATATAAAGTATTTGGCAGAATTTATATTTGAATTTTAAATAATTTTAAATCTTTCTATCATTTTACTGTCCTTAGTTTTCAGGTTCAAAAGATTTGACTGTCTTATAGAAAATATATATTGAAGCAGAAGTTACTGCATATTTTGATAATAACAGAGCCTACTATGCAATGAAAATGTATTACAAGTTACTCACTGATCTATGGAATTATAGCGTGATGGAAGGGTAATACGGAAGGAGTAGCGGAGACAGGAAACAAGTAGCAGCAGGAAAGGTATGGGGTTTATGCACACATATCGATGAGTTGTGAAATAAGTGTTAGTAAATAGAATTAAATAATAGTTTAGAGCGAGATATAAGTTTGTCTGGAATTACATGAGTTATGTACTTATGTGCAGCCGTATGAGCAGTGGGGGAACCAGAGAACTCCCCCATCATCCTGTAGCATTAAGTCATGTGGCTCTTACCGAGCAGGCAGCATTAGCACGCAAACTGCTGCATGTAAAGTTTACATGCAAGAGACCCATGAGCCCGCTTAACATGGTGTAGATGACAGCCTTGAAGGGCCTTGCACTGTTAGATCCTGGGCTTCAAAAGTCATGCCTTTAAAATCAGTGACTGAGACTTCAAATGTACCATAACATTGGATCTACATCTGCTGTGCCCCACAATTGACAGATCCCGAAGGAATACCTTCTGATGGAGGGACCATTCCCCTAGATCCATGTGACGTGAACTCAATGTCTACCTGAAAGTTTTTTATTTTTAGTATGTGCAGGCTTTGCTGCAAGTCCCGAGCGAATGCTACTTTCATAAATCAGGGTGTCCAGGTAGGTTACCACTGGTATGCCCTTGGTTGTCTTTTCTACTAGGACTGGGGCTAGAACTTTTATTAAGACTCTCTGGGCTGTGCAAAACCTGAGGGGTAATGCTACAAACGGCAAACATGGTGCAACAGGGAACCTCTATAGCAAAGAGCAGAAAGCATTAATGCAGAGGGAAGATGTGGACATGAAGATAACCATCTTAGATGTCCATAGAGACCATATATCCCTTCTGCTGGAAAAGAAAAAAGGCACAAGTGGATGAACACAAATTTGGATCTTCTGTATAGGCATATATACATAACACTCCACATTTAAAAGTACATCTAAAGGCTCCTATATGACAGTCTAAACAAGTCGGCGGTTCCCCTTGTGAATGAGGGCTTACCTTCCATGACTGAGCCAAATCCTCCTTCATTTATGCCTCACATGCTCCCCCCTCCCAGACACTGCAGCTCACAGTGGGAGGGTTAGGGCAGCAGAGGCTGCTTTGTCAATCCAGAAATCAGTGGGCAGGACTTGGTGATGACAGCTGCTGACAAACTACAGGTTTGTGACTCTGCAATGACCATGCTGATAGCAACACTCCAGGCAACATTTTATCCCTTTGTAGTGAAAGCAGGTACAGCCTACATGAGAGTGACAACTCTGCTCTGCATTCAAACAGTCATTTTATATGTATAATAATTACCTTTTCTTTTTTTTTTTTACAATACTTTTTATATTGTAAGGCTCATTACAAACAGTTCAAAAAAGGTAACATGTAAAAAAAAAAAAAAAAAAAGAATAAAAACATTAAAAGCATACCTGCCTGTTTGCAAGTTTATCAATGGCAGCTAATGTTTTGGCCACAGATGCCAGCAGGCTTTCATCACCCAAATTCTCTTTGCTGAAAACACCGAATACACAAAAATAACATTTTATTAGAAAGTATAACTAAAACACTGTGCAACAAAAACAGCTATTAAAAAGGTATTGCCTAGAAATTTAGACAAACAATATGGTTTCGAATACCATACTCACTTATTTCTGCAATTTAATGGGAGGGAATACATTTAAATGCTTGTCAGGGAGTAGAAGTAAAAACTTTAGTGCATTTTCAGTAAGAACATATTTTGAGTTATTATTGTGTTGATGTAATTTTTCTGTTGTACTTTGCTTTACTATAGTTTCTTATGGTACTTATACCATACATGCAAACTGTAATCCTTGAAATATTCATGTATACTTTGCTATATTGATGCAAGTTATTTTCCAAACATATCGGGTACAATGGTACGGTGTAAAATACCATAGAAACATACCTTATTGCACCCTTTATTTGTTCACTGGGCACTGTGCACTCTTCAACCTGTACATTAGTAGGCAATCTAGAAGTGTCTGCCCCAGGAGACAGCACACAGGTTGTAGACAATGGTATAGCATACAGGATTTTCTTCATGTGATTTTCAAGAAATTCATCAACAGTGGAAGCATCTGTATGTGAGGGGTAGGCTGTAGACAAGCCTTTAGTACTTGGCTCCTGTATCAATCTTGTTTCTGTTGTTATTGAATACAATAAATACAAATAAAAACATAAATCAAGTAAAACAAAATATTCCTTAACTGATCAAAAAGCTTAAATTAAATTATCCCATAATGCTAGACAGTTGGATACATTAGTAAATAACAGCAGTGTAAAAAACACAAATTAATTAGCCATTTGGGTATCTGCTTACTTCAATAAGCCATACTGGTGAAATCTAACATTTCATATGTTTATCATTCCTCTTAGTACAGATCTTTGTGTATATACATATGTCCAAGCAGTGCTCAGCTCAGGGCCAGTAGTATTGCAGCTGCAACCAGTGTAAATCTACACCAGGAGGCCTCTATTGACAGATTTAGATTTCTTAATCCCTGCAGTATGGGGCAGATATGCAACACCCCTTGAAACTGCTCAGAAATTATAATATACCAGTAAGCTTTTTCCTGATTATGGACCAACCCTATAACACCTCATCTGTGTTTTATTATTGGCTAGAGAAGCCACCCATCACAGTAAATGGGTCAGTCGTATGACATTGCATTAAAAAAATGTGGCAGAAGGCCAGAGCCAACAAACACGGTGCCTGGTTGTAGTTTGCACTGCATAACATCTCAGGTTCCAGGGCACTATTTAAGGGTGTAGAGACAAAATGCAAGCTCATCCAGGTGCCAGCTATGCAGGTTAAGAAACTTTTATAACTTTTTTTCCTATTTTCCTATTATAGGTTTGAGTTACAGGTGAAAATGTATTTATTTTTTCATACAGCTAGGGGGACATTTATCAATTCTGTTGCACAGCAAGGCAATGCTAAGCAGGAGCAATGAGACAGATTAAAATTGGCTACCCGAGATTACATACACATGGGTCATCACAAATGGGAGGGGTTAAATCACCATCTGTGACCAGGTAACTAAGGCAGCAGCAAGAAGAACTGATCCTGGACCTTGCGAGAATCTGGCTGCGATCTCACAGGCAGAGCACAGGAGATGTGCATGTACACAACGGTATGTTTTGCGGTGCAGAGTGGGCAGGTTTACCATCCAGTGTGTCTCAGTCACAGAGAGGAGGGCACAACAGATTTTTAAGAAGTGTTGCAGCTCCCTAGAGTGTCGGAGACATTATTGTGTTGTAGTTCACAGATAACAAGGGACAGTGGGGACACTGAGGGAAGGTGCCAGGCTTCAAAGGCAATGGGCAAGTCAAGTAATCACTGGTAAAGGAGGTCTGGATATCCAGGGGTCCCAGGTAGGGCACCGATGCACACAGACAGTTTTCGCCCCTCCAGTGGACATATACAGGATCTTTAACCACTTGCCGTCCGCCCGTAGTAAAAAAACGGACGGCACTGCAGCATTTGCGGGTTGCAGTCTCCAGACGGCAATTTTTTTCTGCTCGCGCGCGCCCCTTAGCACGGGCAGAAAAGACCCGACTATTGCACACACCCGTTGCCGGGTGTTTCACATATAGGCGATTAGCGGCTCCATAGCCCGACGATCGTCTATATGTGCTCGTTCGCGTCCGA